TTGTTTTGTTTTCCTTTTTTTGGTTTGCAGTAGTTAGACAATACCTAGGAAAGTCTCAAGAAGTCTTAAATAGAATGGAGAAAGATACAGGTCTATAATATCATAAATTAGCAATCAGTGAAATTTGGGAATTCTTATTAGCAGCTAGCTTAATTGGCTTATTTTTCTGGATCCTCCATTTCCAAAGATGGAAATTCATGATATGGAGTTGTAATGCAAAGTTATTTTGTAGCTCAGCACTAATTTATATTCTGGACCAAGAAACAAGAGGTAGGTAATGATCATTTCTGGACAGGCTTCTCGTGGTCCTTATCTTGGAAGGAGACTCTCTTTTGCTCTCCACACAAGAGGGGAAGATTAGTTACCCAAACTGTACTTTAAAGGGAAGAACTCCGTGATGGCTTAATGTACATTTGCAAATTGTGCTTTAGAGGAAGCAAGGCAGTATTATATATTTTTCTTGACATTAAAATAATGTCTTCTGAAGTAGCAACTACAATTAAAAGTTGTAAAAAGCTAGCTATAGAAGGCAACTATGCATGGAGATAAAGTCCATGATGACACAAACAGTAAATGCTCTACTACTAGCCCAAGGGTTAGGCAGTTCTAACCTACCCAGAGAAGCCTTGGGAGACAGGTCTGGCAATTTGCTTCCAAAAGTCACAGCCTTGAAAACACTATGGAGTAGTTTTACTCTGCACACATGGGGTTACTCTGAGTCAGGGTTGACTTGAAAGCAACTAACAACATCACCACCACAACAACATAAATTATGGTGGTGCCTAAGGCATTTGACTGCTAACCAGAAGGCTGGTGGTTCAAACCCACCAGCCACTCCTCGGAAGGAAGTTTGGTCAATCTACTTCTGTAGTGATACCACCTGGAAAACCCACGGAGGGGTCGCTATGAGTCGGGTCCGACTTGATGGCACATAACAACAACAACAACAACAATCTTGAAATTTATGTAAACATTAGTTGCAAAAAGTACAGTAATCCTGACTTATAACATATTTGAGTAATAACAAACTACATGACTGGCCATTTTTTTTTATTTGTCTTTTTTTTTTTTTTTCTTCCCCTTTCACTCAGGTTAATATGTGTCTACCTTTAGTTAGTGGTTTAGTGCCTAAGGCATTTGACTGCTAACCGGAAGGCTGGTGGTCCAAACCCACCAGCCACTCCACAGAAGGAAGGGTGGGCAATCTACTTCTGTAAAGATTTACCACCTCAGAAACCCAATCGGGGTCACTATGAGTTGGAATCGACTCGATGGCAATGAGTTTGGTTATTTTCATTGACCCCAGTAACCAGCAAAGAATATTTCTTTTTTCTGTGAAACCCTTTTCTTGACTCTGTACAATAGTAGTCTTATACAATGTTTGTTTTGTGATTGACTAATTTCACTCAGCATAATGCCCTCTAAGTTTGGACCACCTGCAGTTTTGCTTTAGAGAACACATGATATTTTGCTTCCTCTGTAGATTAGATATGACCACCCATCTATCAGTTTGCTGTAATGCAGTGTTGCTGTGATGTTGGACGTTATGCCATTGGTATTTCAAAAACCAGCAGGGGTTACCCATGGTGGACAGGTTTCAGCAATTTCCAGATTAAAGCAGACTAAGAAGAAAGGTTTGGCAATGTTGTTGTTGTTGTTGTTAAGTGCTGTCGAGTCGGACCGGACTCATAGTGACCCCTCCTTGGGTTGCCGAGGCATTATCACTACGGAAGTAGATTGCCCAACCTTGGCAATATATTTCCAAAAATTAGCCAATGGAAAGCCTATGGATTACAACAGAATATTGTCCAGTACAATCAAGAAGATGAGCCTCTTACATTGGAAGGCACTCAAAATACACAGTGGCTACAACAATGAACTCAAACATAACAATGATTATGAAGATGGAAGAGGACTGGGTAATGTTTTGTTCTTGTGTACATGGTGTCACCATGAGTTGGAGCCAACTCATTGGCAACTAACAATAACATAAAAAAAAAGAAAAAAAAAAAAAACCAAAGTGACATCTTAGCTCCTTAACACTTTAAAGAGGTCTTTTGTAGCAGATTCGCCTGGGTTCCTTACTTAGAGATGCCTGAAGTAACATTTATTTAACAATAATGTCGAGTCAATCCAACTAATGGCGACCCCTCCTTGGATTTCTGAGGCAGTATCACTACTGAAGTAGACTGCCTAATCTTCCTTCCAAGGAGTGGCTGGTGGGTTTGAACAGCTAGCTGTCTGGTTAGCAGTCAAGTGCCTTAGGCACTATACCACCAGAGCTACCAACATTAACATAGATTAAATAAATGTTACTTCAGGCATCTCTAAGTAAGGAGCCCAGGTAAATCTGCTGCAAAAGACCTCTTTAAAGTGTTAAGGAGCTAAGATGTCACTTTGAAGACTAAGGTGTGCCTAACCTAAGACATGCTATTTTCAGTTACTTCATAACCATGTGAAAGCTGGACAATGAATAAGGAAGACTGCAGAAGAATTGATGCCTTTGAATTGTGGTGCTGGTGAAGGATACTGAAAATAACATGGACTGCCAGAAGAATGAACAAATCTGTCCTGGAAGAAATGTAGCCAGAATGCTCCTTGGAACTGAGAATGGCCAGACTTCTCATCTACTTTGGTCATGTTGTCAGAAGGGACCAGTCCCTGGAGAAGGATAACATGCTTGGTAAAGTAGAGGGTCAGAGAAAAAAGGGAAGGCCCTCGGTGAGATGGATTGACACAGTGGCTGCAACAATGGGCTCAAGCTTAGCAAGGACTATGAGGCTGGTGCAGGACTGGGCAGTGTTTCGTTCTGTTGCACAGAGGGTCGCTATGAAACAGAGCCAGCTTGATGGCACATCACAACAACAGCAAGGATCCTAGTGTGGTGCAATGGTTTGCATGGGTGCTAACTGAAAGGCTGGTGATTTAAGCTCACTCAGCACCTTTGCAGGAGAAAGACCTGGCGACCTGCTTCCAGAGAGATTACAGCGTAGCAAACCCTATGGGGCAGTTCTGCTCTGTCATGAGGGGTTGCTATCAATTGGAATCCACTCAACAGCACCTAACAACAAGTAATTACTGGAGCACTATACATAATATGTTACTTCTGTAATAAATTCAATGTGATATTTGCTAACAGAGTATGCCTGCCAACTGGTTCCTAAAACTGTATTTTTGCTATTTCATAGATACACACGGCCCAGCAGCAGTGAGGTGTAGAAAGGTGATATGAGACTTGTGCATTAATTCCAAAGCAATTTGAGAGTGTTTGCTTATTTTCAACATAAAGTGTTTTCCACATAAGAAAGCAATGTGTGTAATTTATCTGTGTCTTTCCAGTCCTGGCATTTTTAAACTGTCCATCGTGACAGGGTACAAATGAGTTTATATTAAACTAACTTTAGGGACCATGAATAAGAATGGGAAATAGTGTGTTGCTTGGTTCCTGCTTAGTTCTGGTAGCAGCAGCACTATACCTGGTAGTCTCTTCAACATGTCCACACACAAAAAAAAGTAGCTAGATAATGTGGCAAAAGTCCATAAGTTTCTAGGTTAGTTGGGGAAAGGAGAAGTTCCCAAAACACTTATCACAACCCTAGCAAGCATTCTCCCTATAACCCCCTACTTAGTACATTGTATTCAACCTTGTCATTAGGTATCTGCCTGTCATAGACTATGAAGCTCTTGAAGGACAAAACCTAGAGAAGAGTCCCTGAAACATAGCAGGGACTCAATAAATATTTATTAAATACAATCGTCTGGGAAGTCTGTGAATAGTAATATAAATGATTGGTGGAAGAATGCTTGCTTATCTTAGACTCTGCAGCCATTGTAATAAATTGGATGTATGCCTAACGCCTAGTCTGGACCTTGGAACTATTAATTTTCTAGGTCAGAAAAAGTCTTTGTTGTGAGGTGCTGTCTTGTGCATTATAGGATATTTAGTAGCACCCCCCATCTCCACTCACTGGATGCCTACAGTGCCCCTCTACTCAGCAAAAAATATCTCCAGAAATTGCCATATGTCCTGGGGGACAAAGTATCCACGGATGACAACCTCTTATCTAGTCTGTATGTTCATGACATGTACCAGAATTAAAAAGATTACACTTGCTGTTTTCTTTTTCTGAATCAATATTTTTTGATCTACATCTTGAAGTTATTATATTCTCTTGATAATCTGCTTCCATTAGTTTTCTCTGGATATTCTCATATATTCGGGGTGGTGATACTTTCTAAACACAACCAAGTAAGTTTTAAAATACCCTGTTCCTCCTGAGGGGAGGGGAAATATATATATAAGGAGAAAACATCCCAGATAGAACTTGGACCAGTGGCTAAGTAGGCTGTTTAGCAGTGTGAGCTTGAAATGGTCTTAGGTGCAGAACACACCCAAGTGCCTAAGCTGAAACTGATGTGTCTGTGAGTCCAAAACGAATCTTTGTATTTTAAAAGAAACTGCCTTCATTTGTTTGCTGTGTACTCTTGGAATCTTAACAATAAAACTCCACTGTCATACGAAAGTATCCTTCTGACAAACAGATTTTTTTTTCTCCTTTGGCTTTGTTTTTATTTACTTCCTATTTATGTTAGCAGTATCAGGAAGATACCAGCATGGGATCCCAAAACAGTCTGTCTCAGTAACTCTTGCCCCTTCAGAAGCACAATTAGTCCCACTAACTGAAGAAATCAGTAGCCCTTTTCAACTCTAAGGCAGAATGAGAATGGTTTGCAGTCTCTTCTTTCTTCAGATAAACAAACTATCAAAACAAATTAGAATCTCAAAATTCTGACTTAAGCCCAGCCCAGTGGGCATCCTGCTTCAAAATGACTACACATCCATGTCTTAGGGTGAGAAATAATTTATGACAAATAAAGCTCATGAAAAATTCTAATTTCATTCATGTTGCTACAAGTAGACCTCATGCTTTAAAAAAAATGTGGGCTGGTAACATTTTTTTTGCCTCCCTTGCAGTGTAGAGTTAAATGTGTGCCCTTACCTCTCCTCCAGTGCATGGAAAAGGATTGGAGTATCTAGACGTGCAAAGAGCTCCCTTCTTGACAACATCATCTTCCAGGCCAAATGTAGCTGAGCAGTTAGTAGCAAAGTACTTGTAAGGCTTCCACGTTTTTCCAAAGTCCTGGGACCGGTCCAGGACCATGGCTGCTGGCCTGGGGGACTTAAACACCATAATTAGGTGAGTGAAGTAGAATTCAGCTTCCAGGTCTAACTGGATCTTTTCTCTGTGCACATCCTCAGCAGATTGCCACCACGTGCGAGGAAACCTGAAGGACGAATCTGCCATGGCCGAGGGCAGGTGAGCCAGGTGGGGATGGGCAGCGCTGCATCTGTCACACTCGGGCTGCCGACAAGTCAGGTCAGTGTTCTCACTATGGAAGCAGTACAGTTCAGTGGTGTTCTGACCACAGGTGGTATCTGCCCAGAGCTTTCTTCCCAAAGCCAGATTGCCCATTGGAGGGTTGCAGGCTTTTTCACAGCGGGAACTGACTCCAGCTACTCCACTCAGTCCTAAGGAAGGGAAAGCAAACGTTATTCAAAAGAAACCCTTCGGAAAGCTCTTCTGTTCGTAGTACATCTGCAATGGTCAAGTTATCCCCAAAGAGCTTAAGACTTTCAATAAAGGGAAGTTCTACCAAATTAGAGCATGAACACTGTTCTGCACTTACACTCCATTTGTGTATGCAAATGTATGTATGAGTGTTTGTGTCTCTGTGTGTCTGCTTTTTATGTTCAGAAGTAGAATTCACATGAGAGAAAATGAAATTATTTAAGATAAAGGGGAAGGGGAAGGATAACAGAAACATTGGGATAAAGATTATTGGCCTAAAAGTGTTCTAGTATTATGCTTTATAAACATTCTTTGTAGTTGAAACACAATTATGTCTTTGAAGTCATGACTTAACTAACACCAAAACACAGTGTTTTTAAGATCATCTAAGTTAGTCTTTCTGATATAATTTGAGTCCATAATATCATCTAAGGAACTCTGGTGGTGTAGTGCCTAAGGCATTTGACTGCTAACCAAAAGGTTGGTGGTTCAAACCCATCAGCCACTCCGTGGAAGGAAGACTGGGCAATCTACTTCCATAAAGATTTACCACCTTGAAAACCCAAAGGGGGTCGCTATGAGTCAGAATATCATTTACCGTGTTTATGAGAATGCATTTAGGAGGAATTGTAAAATTCTCTTTTCTTTGTATTCTTAAGTGAATAAAGGAATAAGTTCCTTAGGAAAAGCAATATGAGATGTTTAATAAATACATAATGGAGCTCATTTAGGGAGATACGACGACAGATCACTGGAGCACAAATGCATCATGTCCATTTCTAATATTAAGTAAATATTACTACAGAGAAAACCTTCAATAAGCTCTAACCGCCAAATGGCAGAATAGTTTATTTTACATGCTCTCTGCCTCTTGGGTGCTTCTACCTATGACAGTTAGACAGTAGTTACCTGTTTGCTTAACAGGAGAATGTTTACAGTCTGGCAGCCACTAGCAGCACCTTTAACCATTATTTGTGGACTGAAACACCTTCTTAAAGAAACACACTCTTCCACCCAAACAAAGGTCCAGCACACATTAATGTTCCAAAATTACTTAAAATGATAAACATTATCTACTTTATTAACATCTGACTACATATTTTAAGGGAGCTCTGGTAGCATAGTGCTTAAGGCACTTGACTGCTAACCAGAAGGCTGGCAGTTCAAACCCACCAGCCACTCCTTGGAAGGAAGGTTGGGCAATCTACTTCCGTAGTGATACTGCCTCGGCAACCCAAGAAGGGGTTGCTGTGAGTCGGGTCCGACTCGATGGCACACAACAAAACAACATATTTTAATCCTTTAATTTGGGTTTGTCATTCTTATTATGAATACCTTAAACAAAATCATCTATTTTTAAAGATAAAACAAGAGGAAAAGAAGAGAAAAGAAGTCAAACCCCAAATTCTGGCTAATTAAATGTTTCTGCTGCTTAAGAGGGAGCATCTCTGTGATACTATAGTGTTGGAGGGAGCCAAATGGCAGACTAACACAGCAACTTTTCACACATGAACTTACAACCACACAGTCTCACAACCAAAATAAGGGGCTTCCTGAGTGTGCATTATGCCTGGCTCTGTTTGCTACTGTCCGATTAGCTGGGACAAGAGTTGCTTGTGGCCAGGATCACACCACCACATGGTGCTATGACTCACCTGTAAAGCATTTTGGGGAAAATCATATACTGCCTGTACAAGTATGTTTTTGACTCGAAACACTTGCTTTGTGATAGTTATTCACAATCTCTTGATTGCGTGCATGTTTTTTCTGTAACATGGTTTGAAAAAGGGAAAGGTTTATTGAAGTTCACTTTGCCATTGAGGGGAGCATGCATTAGTGCACACAGAATGCACGAGTAAGAAGAGTTAAAGTCAAATCTTAGAACTTTAACAGCTCCTTGAGGGGAAATAGAAAATAATTCTAAATTCCTCCAAACTAATAAGAAGTCCAGAAAAGACTTGCACCAGATAAATAACCAATGGGCAAAATTCTTGGAGATCCCTAGGTGAGTTACCATCCAAGTATAGCATGGATGCTTCTATAAGCCTGACTGGTTTGGGATGCAGGTTCTGAAGCTCAGTGTGTGTCAGAGGTTCTGGGGGGAGGTAGGAAGAGGCCAAAGGGAAGAGAGAAGTGCCGCAATGCTTTTATGCGCCACTCCATTCTTCCAACTCACACTTCCCTTTCTGGAGCAAGCGAGATCCTTAAGAGAGACAGGGATGGCTGCGTTGTCCTCATTTACTTTCTCCCTTACACTTAGAGCTGCAAACCAGGTGATCCGCAAGAGGTAGGGAGAGGAACAGGAGGGGCGCTAGAATTTAGAAACGGCAAGCTAGGGACCTGTGGCCAACGGGGCCGTCGAAGAAAGCCAGCGGGGAGTGGGAGGGATAGGGCATCACACGACACCTCTGCCTCGTCCAGTTACCGAGACAGGGAGCAGACCCGCCTCCGACCTCCCGCGGAGCCTCGGCCAGGGTACCAGTTCCCTAGGGGCGTCCAGCCAGCTCCGTGCAAAATCAGAGTGATTCCACCTAAGGTCCCAGCCCAGGTTTACTGTGTTCTAGCCACTCTCCCGGTGAGAGGGTCCTCCCCTGGCCCAGGTGGCCCTACCTGGCTCCCTAGTAGCCAGCAAGAGGTCGGGGACGACGGTGATCCTTCTCAGTGCGAGACTGGCCCCGGCCCACGCGCGCCTAGGGTCGCTGGGCCACCCCTCGCCATCATTCCCCAGGCCATGAAGGGCCGGGGGATGGCGAGCTAGGTCCTTTGTTCCCTGACAAAGTGGAAAGGCAGTTTTTCATTAGTCAAAACCCAGAAAGAAGCCTTGATCGCGGTGTCCCCCACTGGACGCACTCAGGATTTCGGGTTATCCAAGGGCATGTGAATCTCAGTTGCAAAAAAAAAAAAAAAAAAAATCAATAGCATTTTAAACTGCGGAGACTCGGGAAAAGCAGCCGGAACATGGCCACTCATTTCATCCTGTGGAACAGAGCTCTGCGATCCCAAGCTGGACTCCCCTGCACCCCAGAGTCCCGAGATGGGGAAGAGAGGGCGCGAGGGAAAAGGGGTGGGGGCCCGGCAGCGTCACCACCCACCTGCGGCCACCGCGGAGCAGCCCCAGAGCAGCAGCAGCCGCGCGCAGCTCCCCATGGCCGGGAGGAGCCGGGAGGAGCCGGGCCGGGCGGCTGCGGGAGGGAGCCGAGACCTCTCGGCTGTGGGATGAAGCGCCAACGGTCTTCGGGAGGAAACGGGGTTCTTTATTTCTTCCTCCTCCAGGGGCGTCAGGTTCACTCACTGGGCGCTGGCGGCCAGAAGCCGCGGGCCGGGGCCGCGCCGGGCTGGGGGGGTGACCCTCGGGCACCAGCCTGGCGGGGCCCGGGCACCTGGGGGGTTACGGGAGCCCAGCGACCCTAGCCGGCCTGGCCGCCCCGTCCCGCAGAGCGACCCTGCGGTCTCCTCCGCCGCTCGCCCGCGGCTCGGCGCCCGCAGCAGCCGCTGAACTTGGCGAGACCTTTCACTTCCCGGCCGCCGCCGCCGCCGCCGC